AAAAAAAAAAATACAAAGAAATTATCTGGACAACTAAAAATATACAGAAAAAATTAGCCGGGCATGGTGGCGCATGCCTGTAGTCCCAGCTACCCGGGAGGCCGAGGCAGTAGGATCGCTTGAGCCCAGGAGTTTGAGGTTGCTGTGAGCTAGGCTGATGCCATGGCACTCAATCTAGCCAGGGCAACAGAGTGAGACTCTGTCTCAAAAACAAACAAACAAAAAAAAAACATGTTCATTTTCAATGGTAACAACAATTTAGTACAAATACCTGCTTTGAATTAAAGCTGTTTGGGGTCAGGAACTGTATTGCCTAGGCGAATATGGAAATAATATGAAAGAAATCTTCAGGTGCTTGATACATATAAACAATATTATGCTTCATAATGAGATACTTGGACGATTGGCAGTGGCTCACTTTTTTGTTGCCATGTATTTTGAAGAAATTTTCATCAGCTTCATTAAGAAATTATTATTACTCTATATAATATCTTGCTAATACATAATTTACACTTGTCTGGGTGTATGGGGTTTTGGTTTTGGGGGTTTGGGTGGTGGTTTTTTCAAAGATATAATGACTTTTAACCCTCTCATCAATTTGCAGTAACTATTATAGAGTTTATAAATTCCAATGAGATGTAAAAAAAAAAAAAACTTTTGACATTTTAGATTAGACTTTTGAATATTTTTTGTACTTCCATTAGTATTAACAGATCTCTGGTGTCTAGAAACTCTATAGATTATACGCCATCTGTCTAATGGGATAGGTTAAACAAGCCACACTTATGGCCCAAGCCACCTTTTTAAGTAAAATTTTCTTGAAACACAGCCATAATCATTTAAATATTATCTATGGCTGCTTTAGTGCTATATTTAATGCAGAATTGAGTAGTTGCCTAAAATATTTACTGTTGGCGCCATAAGAAATTGTCTGCCTAGTTTAATGAATAGAGCGTTAAATTAAATGCATGTCATTTTAACTGATGTATGTTCTTGGAGTAGCATCAGTTCTGTGTTACTGTGGCTTTTGTTTTCTCATCTCTAAAAATTAGGGTGTTAATCATAACATTAAAATACCCATTTTTTACATTTTACCATTTTTTTCCCATCCTTATTGTGGTGCCCCGAATCAGTTTAGTTTTGTACACTGACTAATAAGAATTAACTCATTCTTGAAATTACTGAAAAAATTAGACTGAAAGTCCCTAAACTTGGGTAGAATGTTTTATTTTGGAATTAATCCGTATATTTCTCTTAGGTGACTTAATTTGTGTAATTCTTTTTTCTCTTCAGAAATTTCTGAATAAATTGGCAGAGGAACGCAGACAGAAGAAGGAAACTTAAGATGTGCAAGAAGATTTAATGATTTCAAAGAAAATAATGGTTCTTTGTTTTTAATGTTAACCTTTTTTAAATACAATACTGATAGTTAGAAGACTATTGTACTCTTTTGTTTTAGTGGAGAAATAATAGATGTCTGTTCATGTGTTAAGTGTTATAGCAAAAAATACATATGCAGTTAAGTTAATGAAGAATAGTTTTTCTTTTATCAGAACGGCAACAGACAGAATTACTTTGTAGAGACTGACTTCGTAAGCTACTTAAGACAACTTGCACCACTAAGAAAAAGATAACATAGAACCATTCAGAAAAATGAAATTTAGTAGTTCCAAGCATCAAAGAAATGTCAACGTTTGATTCCATTCAATAAAGAACAAAACCAGTTGTATTTTTATTACTTTCATCTGAAACATTCCACATTTTAATCTGAGCCTTGCAGACTTTTCATTTGGAGTTTGAAGCTTCTTTGGTTGCATTTCATTTGTGGAGAACTTGATTAATGTGAGATTGGCAATTCAAATGCAGGTGCAGTTTTCTTTTAATGTCATGCTGTTGTTTAGGTATAAGAAATATTAAGTAATTGGCTTTAGATTTTGTAATTTTTTTCCCTGAGTTCCTGCTAGATTTCGTATTCTAGTAGTTCAATGTATTTTCAGTGAAATGTAAAAATATTCCCGTTCTCTTTGACCAGTATTAATTTTTTGAGATCTTATTGCTTGTCACTTGAATCCTGTAGCTGTCATACATCTCTGGTATAAGCAACATTTGATTTTTGAAGTGTGTAGACCATCTCTTCGTATTTTCAAGATGTAATTTTACATTTCTGCATTTTAAAGACAGTTTGGCCATAATTCTAGATGCACGCTTCTAATTCATATACCTGCACATGTTACCTTTGTGAACAGAAATTTGCATGTATAATCTGTGTTTACTTGTGACTTTCTGGTTATATACTGCTTATATCTGTGGATTCAAGTTACTGAAGTGAATACCAATAAAAAAAACTAGGCCATGTTCATTGGTTATACATGTCTGGAATGTTAACCAATATGTTTGTCAGTTGTGATTTTTATTCACTCTTACACTTTTGTGCATGCTTTAACAAATTATTACTTTTTAAGTCTACAGTAAGTGTATTAAAGACTACTACTAAAGATCTGAGTTTTAAACTTTTTTGGTGCTGGTGGATTTCTTGTTCTTGTTACATAACTAAAAATGGAGCCATTCTTGGTTTTTTAAAGCCTTGTGAATTTAAAATGCTAAAGGTTGAAGAAATAGCATAAACTTGTGTCTAGACGTATGTCTTTAACAGTAAAATTAGAAGTAACATGAGCAAAAATTAGTTCTGCCTGCTTTTCAAAATAATTATATAGGAATTATTGGTATATCAGACTATTGTCAAAAAATAAATTTTTTTTTTTTTTTTTTTTTTTTTTTTTGAGACAGAGTCT